GACTTTCTCTTATGTCTTGTTGATTGTAGCTGAGTAAAGATCATCCCAAGTTGGAGAAGTGGCTGGGAAAATGAGTATCCAGCAAAGAGGATCATGGTTAATCCCTTGGGGCTGGTTCGTGTCACCAGGAATGCTGTAGGGAAGAGGGGAAAGGGGTGTTGGATAGATGACTGAGTTGTCACACCCTCTTAACTACTGCACATTTCTTGGTCCAATAAAGTTACATTCCAAGAAGGGAGTAGCCTGTATCTGTTACTGTCAAGTAAACTCTGGGGGCTAGGGTTTGTAGCTTAGTGGTACAGCATGTGTGAAGCCCTGGGTTTGAATCCTAGTAGTATACATACACAAAAGCTGCAGGCATGGTGGTGCACACTTGTAATCTCCCAGCACTGGGGAGGCAGAGGCAGGTGTATCTTTAGGAGTTTGAGGTCACCCTCATCTACATAGTGAGTTCCAAACCAGCTGGGGCTACATAGTGGGACCCTGTCTCAAAACAAACAAACAAAAAACACACAGGGGCAGGGAAGATGGCTCAGTTGGTAAAATACTTGCTGTACAAGCATAAGAGACTGAGCTTGCTGATGGGTGTGGTGGCACAGGCCTGTAGTCCCAGCACTTGGGAGGCAGAGGCAGGTGGATCTCTGAGTTCAAGGCCAGCTTTGTCTACACAGGGAGTTTCAGGCCAGCTGGGACTATAGGGAGACCCTGTCTCAAAAAAACCGAAAAAAAAAAAAAAAAGAACCTGAGTTTAGATCCCCAGCACCCTTGGTGGCGTGTGTCTATAGTCTATAATCCCAGTGTTGGGAAGGTAGAAAGAGGTGAATCTCTGTAGTTTTACTGGCCACCCAACCTAGCTTAATCAGCAAGCCCAGGTGCTAGTGAGTGACCCAATTGCAAAAAACAAGGGTGGAAGCTAGGGAGTTGGCTCAGCAGGGAAAAGCATTTACTGCCAAAGCTGACAACCTGAGTTTGATTCCTGGAACCTACATGGTAGAAGGAGAGAACTAACTCCTGCAAATTATCCTCTGACCTCCACTTGTGAACAGTGGTCTATTTGCACACACACACACACACACACACACACACACGAAACTAAAAATAGTTGAGCATGGTCATACACCTCTTTACTTCTAGCACTCAGGAGGCAGAGGCAGGTGATTCAAGACCAGCCAGGGATACATACTGAGATGCTGATCACAAAGACGAATAAAAATGAAATGAAAACCAAGCATGAACTCCTGAGGAATGACACCTGAGATTGACCTTTGGCCTCCATGTGTGCAGGCAAGGATACCTGGTCACAGCAAAACCACAGACAGAAAAATACCTCAGTTTTCCTGTCTGTCGAGGGGTCTGGATCCTGTGACTGTCCTCTCTACGTCTGTGAGGGACGCTGGTCTGTCCCTGGCAGGGGCAGCTTGAAACCCCTCATTTCACAAAACAGAAATCGGACCAGAGAGGGGAAGGCACGTGGCCAGTCACGCAGCAGGTAATGGCAGGATTCAAACCCATGCCTTGGGTTTCTAAGTCCTCCCCATAACATCAGAGGCTCTTGTTTATTTTAGTTTATTATTATTTTTTGGTCTTTTTGAGGTAGGGTCTCCCTGTGGCCCCAGCTGGCCAACTCACTATGTAGACCAGGCTGGCCTTGAACTCACAGAGATCTGCCAGCCTCTGCCTCCCAAGTGCTGGGATTAAAGGCGTGTGCCACCACGCTTGGCTTATTTATTTTATTTATTATTTTTATTTTATGTGTATAAGTGGATTGCCTGCATGTATGCGAGTGCACCCGTGTCGTGCATTGCCGTGGAGGTCAGAAGACGGCTTTGGATGCCCCTGGAACTGGAATTAAGGACGGTTTGTAGCCGCCATGTGGGTGCTGGGAATTGAACCCCGGTCCTCTGCTAGAGCAGTCAGTGCTCTTAACCACTGAGCCATCTCTCCAGCCCCTATTTATTATTTTTACTTTATGTGTATGTGTGTATTGCCTGCATGTAGGTAAGTGCACCCATGTCATGCAGTGCCCAAGGAGGTCAGAAGAGGCAGTCTGGATCCCGTGGGATCCGTAACTGGAGTTATGGACAGTTGTTAGCTGCCATGTGGGTGTTGGGATTCGAACCTGGGTCTTCTGCAAGAGCAACTAATGTTCTTAACCACTGAGCTGTGGTTTTTTTTTTATGTGTATGTATGTATATGCATGTGTATGTATGTTTTTTTTGTGTGTATGTATGTTTTGCCTGCATGTATGAAAGTGCACACGTGTGCAATGTCTGCTGAGTCCAAAAGAGGGCATCAGATCCCCTAGAACTGGAGTTAAGGATTGTTGCTAGCCATCATATGGGTGCTGGGGAACCAAATCCAGGTCTTCAGCAAAAGCAGTCAGGTCTCTTCTGAACAATCTCTCCAACCTGCCACAAAAGCTATTTTGGGAAATAAGTGTAGTTAATTCCATGATAAATGACTTTTCATGAGTTTTTTTTTGTTTTGTTTTGAGACAGGGTCTTACCTTGTAGCCCTGACTGGCCTTGAACTCACAGGGATCCTCCTGCCTCTGTCTCCTGAGTGCTGGTATTAAAGGTGTGTACCACCATACCAACTCTCTCTCTCTCTCTCATATATATTATAATATAATTATATATAATTTATGTAATATATTATACAATATATCAGATATATAGATATATTATGTAATATATTATATATAATATATTAGATATATATTAGATATAATATTTATAATATATATTATATATATAATATTGCTGATCTACCTCCCTAAACTCAATTTCTTTCATCCTTGTATACTGTGTATTGAATTGTCTCATATATAATATATAGATTGGTATTCTTCCCTTTTGTGGCCTGAACTTGAAAATCTTAGGAAAGGGTAGGGATCTTTCCAGAATGGGGAAATATAATTCCAGTTTCTGGAAATGTAATTACTTAAAGTGATAAAGTAGGTCAAGAGTGTCTTTTGAAATCACATATAACAAAACACGTGGTTGTATTTTTCAAGCCAGCTAGAACAGCAGGCCTTGGGCCACATGCCCAATATCTAATAATTATACAAGAGACTTAAAAATTTTCAATTCCTCTACCTGTGGCTCTAGAGTTCTTCTGCATCCAGGATTCTGAAGTGAAGCTTAATATGGTGGTGCACACCTGTAATCCCAGCGCTCAGGAAAATGAGGCAGGACCATTGCCATAGTTTGAGGCTAGCCTGCCTGGACTAACTACGTAGTAAGCTCTTGTCTCAAAAAATTATAGGGGCAAACGGGGCGTGGTGGCTCATGCCTTTAATCCCAGCACTTGGGAGGCAGAGGCAGGTGGATCTCTGTGAGTTCGAGGCCACCCTGGTCTCCATAGCGAATCCAGGCCAGCTGGGGCTACAGGGAGACCCTGTCTAAAAAAGACCAAAAAAAAAATTTTTTTAAGAAAAAAATTATAAAAAGGACAGTTCTGGATTGAGTAGTCTGGACCTCCTGATAGATGTGGTAGTGAGTACACAGGGGGCCCCAAAAATTTACCAGCCAAGTTTGTAGACAGTGCGGGGTCTAAAAGTAAATTCAGTTTTTGTGGCTCATGCTGTAATCCCAGCACTCAGGAGGAGAGGCTGAGGCAGAAGGGTTGCAATGAATTTGAGGCCAGCCTGGGCTAGAGTGAAGCCTTGTCTCAAAAACAAGTTGTTTGTGGTAGTACACGCCTGTCTTCCCAGCACTTGGATGGTAGAAACAGGAAGAGCTGATGTTTGACTATATAGCAAGTTTGAGGCCAGCCTGGGATGCATGAGACCCCAAATTAATTAATAAATCAGATAGGTAAATAACAGATTTTTTCTTTTTTGTCTTTTTGAGACAGGGTCTCCCTGTAGCTCTAGCTGTCCTGGAACACACTATGTAGACCAGGCTGGCCTCGAACTCACAAAGATCTGCATACCTCCACCTCCCAAGTGCTGGGATTAAAGGCGTGCACCACCACACCTGGCAATAACAGAGAATTTTAAGAAATTGTGGCACTGAACTTAGTTTTTTACTATTTTTTCCTCTCCTCCTACAATGGGGTACCCTGATGTTTTCATTCCTCTAGTGAAGATGAGAAAGTCTCTGTGCAGTGTGGAAGTCCAAGTTGCTTGAGTGACCCTGTTTTCTGCAGTAACTTCTTGTCCATCTCACTCGCCTTTTGCTTGACAATTAGAACAGATGGAAGTTTGAGCATCTTGAGTTTGCATTCCAGAAAGGCCCCTGAAACGTAAGTGTGTCAAATAGATATGCAATGTTTCTCAACTCTTGGGTGGGCCTTTTGGGTGTGGCAGTCATCCCTGATAGTACTGGACACTGTGGCCTGTGCTGCAATTCTCCAGGTTTACCAGGTTTGGGGAGCTTTTCCTCAGACTGCCCAAGAATTGGCAGTGGTCAGCAGACAAGTTGGATAATTAAGATTTCATCATTTGAAACCAGGCGTGGTGGCGCACACCTTTAATCCCAGCAGTGGGAGGTAGAGGCAGGTGGATCTCTGTGAGTTCAAGGCCAGCCTGGTCTACATAGTGAGTTCCAGGACAGCTGGGCCTACAGGGAGACCCTGTCTCAAAAAAAAAAAAAAAACCACCAAAAAAAATATTTTTTCATCATCGAGCAGGCAAATGAGTCTCACCTAATACTCAGCTACTTCACACAAAACCCTTGACTGTCAGTACCTGCAGTCTCAGTAGGGTTTTTTTTGTTTGTTTTTTTGGTCTTTTTGAGACAGGGTCTCCCTGTAGCCCCAGCTGTCCTGGAACTCACTATGTAGGCCAGGCTGGCCTTGAACTCACAGAGATCCACCTGCCTCTGCCTCCCAAGTGCTGGGATTAAAGGTGTGTGCCACCATGCCCGGCTAATCTCAGTAGGTTTTAACCATGAAATAAACTGACATGATCTGCAAACTGAATGAAGACTTTTGACAGTTGGATAAACATCTGATGGATAGGTTGGAATCCCAACTTTCAAGGAAAAGAGCCATAGTTGGTTTGAATCTAACATTTAATGCAAGATACAGTGGATAGACAGAGTTGGTGCAAAACCCAGAGTATCAGATTCAGTTCTAGACAGTGAGTTTGTAACCTAGGCACTTGGACAAAGAAATTGGCCCTGCTGTCCCGAGCCCTTTCTTGTCATCTGTATATTACCAGCTTAGGGTTCCAAAACCAACCTGTAACTACTTAAAGGTTTGGATAGGATCCAAGTGCTTCAATTCACAAAACCAACCAGGAGCCTGATCACAGCCATCATAGCAGGTATATTTTCAGAACAGGTTTGAGTAAGGTGAGGGTGAAACTGGGCATGGGGCTGGGGCTGCTGTACATTTTGGATATATGCAGTTCAAGAGGCTCAGAGCTTGAGAGGCTAGCCTGTCTACCATCCCACCCCCCATGTCTATCCTTCCTGACTGCTCACAGCAGGGAAGATGATGGCCATGCAGTTAAAGAAAGATCTTTTACTGGTTTCAGCAGCACATAGACTAAATACAAGATTAGCATTGCCCTGTGCAAGGATGACATGCAAATTCGTGAATCATTCTGGTTTTCTATATTTTTATTATGTATATAAAAAAAAGAAGAGCTTTCCAAAAGCTGTATTTGGCATGAGCTAATGCCACTGCTAGTGCTGCCAGTGGCCAGGCACAGGTACAGAAGGCCCTGAGGAGTTGGGAGGGAGAACAATGTGCAGGCAGAGCAGGAAATAGCCAGCTCAGGTCCCTGCCCTAGGAGCCTGAAAGATAAAGGCCGTGCAGTAAAGGGTAACATATGGTCCTCTTTGGTCAGGCAAAGGCCCTAATACGGGTCCAGAAGGCAAAAGGGCTGAAGGGCACAGGCTCAGCCAGGAAGCCCGAGCTGTAGGCTCATCACACTGTGGTGGTGATGCAGCAAGAGGCAAGAAGACAGCAAAGTCAGGCTGGTTATCACCAGTTCCTAGGAGCTGCCCTTGTCTTTGTCATCCATCAGGTCATACCTAGGGAAACAAGGTCAGAGCTCAGCATAAAGACAGGGTCTCATTCTGTATTCCAGGCTGGACTGGAGCTTGCTATGTAGCCCAGGCTGGTCTCAAACTCACAGCCATCCTCCCGCCTCCCGAGAGCAGAGATTACAGGCCTGAGCCTCCATACTTTCTTGTGTCAGCTTATAAACAGGAGACATTCTAAAAGCTTCTCTACTTAATGGAATCAGTGGTTCTCAGCTCTGATTACATCCTCCCCCACCTTCTGTTATTGGGTTTTCTTCAGTGTATGTATCTAGCCCCGCCCACTCCCATGTAGACACTTACCACTGGGCTGCACCCTGGGAAAGGTCTATCTCAGCTAGATCCAGCTGCACCTGGGTTGGAGGATGGTAGGGGGCAGGAGGTTATTTTGATATTTTCCAAAGAACATGTCCCATTGTCACATACCCCTGGTCTCAAACCACTGCAGAGGTGACAGGGTCACCTCCCAACTGTCACCCTGGGGTGTTTCCTCAACAGGACAGCCTTGGTCCCAGCAGGTCCTCTTCCCTGCATTCTCACCTTCCCCAGAAGTTCACGCTCTCTTGACATGAAGGAGGAATTTGACTTCACAGAGACATCTAGCTTTCGTCTGAGAGACCCATCCAGGGGCAGCTCCCACTCAAACCTAGGGAAGAACTGTATGTTAGGGCCAGGGATCCAGCCCAAGCCTTCTACCTCTCCACACCAATGCCCACTCACTGACCGCTCATTGAACTCAGGATTGAGAGTCCTCTTCTTCTGTGAGGTCTTCCTCTTGGTACCTCGGTTCTTGTCTGGCAATAGCAACAGTGACACATAGGGGTCTGGGAGATCACGGCCATTTTGTCGAAGGGCCCTGAAACAGGAGGATGTAGGCATTAAGGCACCCAAGGGAAGGGATGGAGGACAGTCTAGAGGACATGTGGGGAGCGGGGGGTGTCTCACCGGCAGCTGTGAACAATGCTGACCAGCTTTTGCTCATCACTGTGGTACCACACTGTCAGCTTCACCTGGCCAAGAGGTCCAATGGGAACCTCAAAGGGACTGTGGAAAGTTGGAGATAGGTCTGGCAGAAGACAGTGCCTAGGGAACCCAGAACTCAAACTTCATATTCTGGCCTGCATCCCATCTGCAGTCCCAGTCCTTTACCTGTCACCAAGTGTTAGGCGATGCCGAACCTCTGGGCCTGAGGAGGTACTATGAGAGGGTCCCCCCAAGAGCTCTGGTTCTTCACTCAGAGAGGAGGAGCTGCGGCTGTAACTGTGGCTATGGGCTTCCACTCCTGAGTGCTGAGACACCAGGATCTGGGAGGAGGAAAACTGAGCTGGGCAGTTTGCTCCGTACCCTTGAGCTACTCCCTATATCTGCCTCACTATAAGGACAGGACCCTCTGTTCCACCCTCTGGGTGTCCTCCAACTGGGAAGGCCCTCCTACTCCCTCTTGCCAGCCGGTCATCTCCAGGTACTCACTCCTAGTTGTGCTCTCAGGAGCACCTGCCCCTGGCCGTTAGTGAGCGCAAACCAGTGGTCCAAGCAGAGCCGGTCAGACTCCAGAAGCTCCGAGAGGGGCAGGGATAAGGAGCCCAGGGTACCAGACCCTTCACCCCGAACCTGTGGGGCAAATGCATTGATAGTCATTAAATGCTAGTATTCAGGGTCTCAACACTTAGACTTTTGGATGGTTTTGGTAAGAGTCCCCTTTTGGGGCACAGAAAATACATGTCAACAACTACTAATCCCCTACTCCCCCACTTTTTTTGTCTGTTGTTTGAGACAAGGTCTCATCCAGGCTGGCTTCAGATACTTGTGATCCTCGAGCCTCAGCCTCCTGAGTGCTGGGATTACAGGTGTACATCACAATGCCCAGCTTTTCCTTCATTTTCTAACAAAGCAGACTCTGCCTTCTAAGCTTTCACAAACTCACCATTACCTGCAGAGTGGAGAAAAAATGGTAAAAATTTAACAAGTAAATGATGTGGGACTGGAGAAGTAGTTCAGTTGGTAGAGTGTTTACCTAGCATGCACAAAGCTCTGGGTTCAAGCCTTAACACTTCATAAAACTGGATGTGGTGGCACAGGCCAGAAATTCCAACTCATGAGGCAGAAGCAGGAAGATCAGATGGTCAAGGTCATCGTTAGCTACACAGTGAGTTTGAGGCCAGCCTGGGCTCCAGGAGATCCTATCTCATAAAGAACAGCAAGTAAGTGTGGTGGCCCATGCCTTTAATTCCAGCACTCCAGAGGCAAAGGTAGGAGGATCTTTGTGAGTTATAGGCCAGCCTGGTCTACATAGCAAGTTCCAGGCCAGCTGGGCTAAAAGGAGACCCTCTCTCAAAAAGACAAAACAAACAAACAACCCCCTCACCAAAGAACAGCAAGTAATGTTTTGTGTTTATCACACTCTCATTTCCAGATTCCACATGCTGGGCTAGGGTACAGCCTAGAAATAGAGTGTGTCTTAGCATGTATGAGACTATGGGTTCAGTTCCCAGCACCAATAATCATCACCATCATAAAGCATTTTCTTTGATCAGCTATAATTCTAACTAAAACGCCTCTATCTCTATTTCATTATTTCCTGACTTTTTTTTCAGTAACTCCAGTTCCAGGGGATCCTACTCCCTCTTCTGGCCTTCCTCAAGCACTGCACACATGTGATACATTTACATATAGGCAGGCAAAACACTCATACACATAAAAAATAAAAATAAATATTAAAAAAGAGTAAGTCAGTTCTGTCCTTCCACCGTGAATTCCAGGGATGAACTCAGGCATCCAGGCTTGCACAACATGTTCTCTGATCCAGTGAGGCATCTTGCCAGCTCTCTTATTTATTAACTGTAGAATGTATCTATTGACTCCCTGTTAAGAAAAATGAAGTAGGCCACCCTGGTCTCAATAGCGAGTTCCAAGCCTTCTGGGGCTACAAGGATACAAGGAGACCCTGTTTCAAAAAGACCACAAAAAAAAAAGTAAGTGAAATGAATTTTGGGGCTGGAGAGATGGCTCAGTAGTAAAGAACACTGACTGTTCTTGCAGAAGACCCGGGTTCGAATCCCAGCACCCACATGGCAGCTAACCACTGTCCAAAACTCCACTTCCAGGGGATCTGATGTCCTGGCTTCCATGGGAATGAACATGATCCACTTACATACATGTAGGCAAAACACATGTACAAAATAAAAATCAAGAAATTTAAAAATAAAACAACAAGCCAGGCATGGTGGCGCACACCTGTAGTCCCAGCACTTGGGAGGCAGAGTCAGGTGGATCTCTGTGAGTTCAAGGCCAGCCTGGTCTACATAGTGAGTTCCAAGCCAGCTTGGGCTACAGGGAGACCCTGTTTCAAAAAGAACAAAAAAAATAAATAAAACAGCTGGTTGGTGGTGCATGCCTATAATTCCAGCACCCAGGAGGTTGAGACAGGAAGACTGGCAGGAGTAGAGATGAGTCTAGGCTACCGTGTGAGATACTGGGTGTGTTGGCACATGCATTTGGGAGGCAGAGGCAGAGGCAGGTAGATCTCTGTGAGTTTCGGGTCATCCATGATTGCAAAATGAGACCCTAACTTTTTGTTGTTGTTGTTGTTTTGATACAGGGTCTCTCTGTAGCCCTAGCTGTCCTGGAACTCACTATGTAGACCAGGCTGGCCTTGAACTCACAGAGATCAGCCTGCCTCTGATTCTTGAGTACTGGGACTAAAAGTGTGCGCCACCATACGGGGCTTGAGACCCTAACTTTTATTTTTTTTTAATATTTATTATTTTATGTGTACAAGTGTGTTGCCAGCATGTATGTGAGTGCACCCGTGTCATGCAATGCCGCAAAGGTCAGAAGAGGGCTTCGAATTCCCCTAGAACTGGAGTTAAGTATGGTTCATAGCTGCCATGTGGGTGCTGGGAATCGAATCCAGGTCCTCTGCAAGAGCGGTCAGTGCTCTTAACCACTGAACCATCTCTCCAGCCCCCAGACCCTAACAAAAGTTAACAGTAGGGCTATGGAGATGGCTCCGTGGGTAAAAGCTTGAGGATCTGAACTCTAATTCCCGGAACTGACATAAAAGGCAGACACACAGCATAAGCATCTGTAATTGAAGCACCCCTTTGGGGAGATAAGAGATAGGAAAATCCTGGATGCTCAAGGGCTAACTGGCCCTTTTTTTCTTGATCAGAACCTATCTGCTCTTAAATTCAGGTGTCTCCTAAGGATGCTTTTCTGCCTGCCTCTACCTTGTCCCCAGTCTTGTAGGCCTCCTCCTTTCGTCTCCATGGTGCCTTTATACCTCAGTTACCATTCTCTGAGTATTCTCTATTCTCCCATAACAAACTCAAGTTTTCTTTCTCTCTTTTTTTTTTGTCTTTTTTGAGACAGGGTCTCACCATGTAGCTCAGGATGGCCTTGAACGAATTCAACATAATCATCCTGCCTTGGACTCCTAACTGCTGAGATTACAAGTATGCATCATGTTTTCCTTCCTCAGTGTCCTGTGTCTGGTTCTGTGCTTGGTCTGTAGTTGGAATCTGCAGAGCACTAGAGTACCCACCTGTGGGGTGAATTTACAGTACCTGCAGCTCCAGGCTCTCAGCATGAGGCTTCCTGATGAGAAAGGAGGCACTCTCATCCCAGACAGGGGCTGCAGTTTGGGAAACAGTCTGTTGGAAATAAGGGTTTATGGTCAGTGTTGAGACTCAATCCTCTACTCTTTCCCTCCCATTATTCTTCGCAGTGAAGCACTTCTTAATACCTTGGTTTTGTGGGAAGTCTCTCCCACAGTGAGAGTGGCATAAGGGCTAGGAGGCTTGGTGCCTTTTCGAAGCTGGAAAGAGAACATCATTAGTCATAAATCTGGACCTAGTTAGAAAGGTCTCTCTCTCCCTTATACAAATTAAAGCCACATCATGTTTCCCATTTTGGCTTGATAGCCATGGACAGTCTTCCCACCCCAGCACCATCCTCAGAGTGTGGCCATTCACTCTTTCAAATCTACAAGGTACATCCATCCCCGAGCAAGCCAGTGAGCTGGGAGTAAGGCTGGGGAGCTACAGGTATGGGAAGCTGCTCTCACCGGTAGGCCCTCTGCCCGTTCCAGGTACACAGACAACAGGGCTGCAGCCAGCTCTGAGCTCTTCTGAGTCTGGATCAGACTGTTTACCTGCAGCACCTGTGTAGGAACACACAGCGGGCTGTGGATGAGAACTGATGTCCTGAGACCTGGCACTAGCTTTGGAAGCTGACAGAGGGTTAGCCCTGGCCCATCCTGCTCCCTTCCTTCCTCCAGTTGCCTTCCTCACCTCCTCTAACTCAGCAGCAGTGGGCCTGGGGGTCAGACGCTCCAGGCGCAAGTGCAGGCGGCCAGATGGGACATCCTCCAGGGTCAGCCACTGTGGACATAGGCAGGGTAAGCCTTGAGAATGAGGGGATGGGAGTGATGAAAATGAGGCTCAGGTCAAGATCAGGAGGGACTGATTCTCATCCCACCCTCACCTCATCAAAGAAGCCACTGTTGAGGACCATGGAGAGACCAACTTTACACCTGTGGAGGAGAAAGATAAAGAGGAGAAGCCAGTGGTGGACACCACAGCCCACAGGGCCCATCTCCCAACCTGGTCTCCCTCCTACCCTCTTACCTGCCCAGAAAGTCATCTTTGTCCAAGTCCTTGTCAAAGATGTCAACCTCTAGCTCTTGGCCTGGAACTGATGTGACAACCACCTAGTGGGAGAACAGTGCAGACAAAAGGGAATTTCCTCCTTTTTGTCTCCAATGACCGCCCCCCATCAACTGACCACAGAGGACCCGAGGCCTCTATTGGAGCTAGGGAGAAAGATGGGAGAACAGTGCAGACAAAAGGGAATTTCCTCCTTTTTGTCTCCAATGACCCCCCCCATCAACTGACCACTGAGGCCTCTATTGGAGATAGGGAGAAAGACAGGGCAGACTCACAGGAGTCTAACCACTTAGTCCTGACCTCAAAAACTTCATTCCAGCGGGGGTTGAGATCTTCCCGAACAACATGGCTCCGGAAGCTTCGTCCTGCCACCTTCAGTTTGACATAGGGGTCTGATTTGCCCTTCACCAATCCCCCCAAGAAACGGTCTTTGGCAATTAGGTCCTGAGCCTCTAACACATGGATCCGAAGAACATTCTGCAACAGGGGCAGATGGGGCACCAAAGGGCAAAAGAGGGAGTTAGACTCTCAGAAACAGCCCTGAAACAGGCTTCGTACACAGGGTTGGGCTTTTCTAGATATCAGTTTACCTCAGTCCCAAAGTGGCTGTCAGGAGTGGTGTGACAGGGTCGAGGGGGGGCATCTACACTGCTGCCTATCTGAGAGCTCTCATTGTCCAGATCCCAAGCACTTGGCACAGTGGGGAAGCAGATTTCTGAGGAGTCCAAGTACAAGATCTGGGAAGAATAGTGTGATTACAGCATCAAGGAAGTGCAGCTGGCCATCAGCAGGTGAGTTGGTGGGGCACAAGGCAGCTCCCCTGCCTTGACTAGGCTCATTTCATTCCTTCCCCCGGTCAGATCACAAAGATTTTTTGATGTGCCTGCTAGATGTTTCTACATATCCTAGCTCCTTGAATCTTAGTGGGCTCCCTGCCATACTCTGAATACGAAGGAATCCACAGGCATTTCCCCCACCCTCTGTGCTTCTGCCATTGCATACCCGCATGACCAGTTTCATGTAGAGCCTAGAGTTTGGGCCTGAGCTGCTGAGCTGGAACCACTGGTCCAGGGTGAGTTCTGGGGCAGTCAGCAGACGAGCCAGAGGCAGGGTCAGCGCCCCCAGAGTCAGGGCCCTGGAGTCATCCTTCACCTATGCACAGAAGGGGTGCAGGGAAAGCATCAGGGAAAAGGGAGGCATATGGCATCATGGCTCCAGCTCCCTCCCTACCCTCTTATCTCAAACCTTTCATTCCACTCAGGACCATCTTGTACAGTCCTCTATCAACTCCAAGGTCCCCCCCTTTTCACCTTTGCTCATTCTGTTCCCACTACTTACAAAGTTTTCACTCTCTTCCTGCTTCAGTCTTACATAGCTATCCTTTAGGCTCAATCAACTCTAAGTCTTTTTAAAGTTTTGTTTATTATTATTGTATATGTGAGTGCATGATATTGGGGGTGGGGTCCCATGGTATGTGTGTGTGAAGATCAGAGGACAATTTTGTGGAGTTGGTTCTTTCCTTCCACCTCTATGTGGGTTCTGGGGATTGAACTCAGGTTTACAGGCCTGTGCAGCAAGCACCTTTACCCACTGAGTCATCTCACTGGCCTCAAAATTTCTAAATCTTTTTTTTTTTTTTTTGGTCTTTTTGAGACAGGACCTTCCTGTAGACCCAGTTGGCGTTGAACGCACAGAGATCCACCTGCTTCTGCCTCCTGAGTACTGGGATTAAAGGCATATGCTACCACACCCAGCTAAGAGTTATTATTTTTAATTATGTGTATGCATATGTGTCTATGTATGGGTATGTGAAAATGAGGATAGGTGCCAATAGAGACCAGAGGTGTCAGATGCCCCTGGAGCTGGAGTTATAGGCAGTTGCAAGCCACTAGCATGGGTGCTAGGAACTGAACTTGAGTCCTCTGTAGGCACACTATAAGTTCTTAAGAGCTGAGCCATTTCTCCAGCCCTAAAATCTCTAAACCTTAATTGCTCCAGCCTCCATGTCTTCCTCTGGCCACCCTTAATGCTATACCATCAGTATTTTACTTCCACTAGTTAATATGTCATTGCTTTTGGATGGCTTGATATATGTACTTTGTCTATGAAACTGACCAGTAAGCAAGGTAAAGCTGTGTTACATGCTTTTTCTATGACCTTTAAAATGTTGGGTGTTAATTTTATTGAGGCATCATCAGCATTCCATAAAAATTACTCATTTCACATATGCAATTATCAACTATAAAAACTGATTCTGGGACAGGTGTGGTGGCATGCACCTTTAAGCCTAGCACTCAGGAGGCAGAGGCAGACAGATCTCTGTCAGTTCCAGGCCAGGCAGGGCAACATACCCTGTCTCAAAACAAACAAACAAACAAACAACCTGATTCTATGGCTAGAATGCACAAGGCCCTGAATTAATACCCAGAATGAGGATAGGTGCCAATAGAGACCAGAGGTGTCAGATGCCCCTGGAGCTGGAGTTATAGGCAGTTGCAAGCCACTAGCATGGGTGCTAGGAACTGAACTTGAGTCCTCTGTAGGCACACTATAAGTTCTTAAGAGCTGAGCCATTTCTCCAGCCCTAAAATCTCTAAACCTTAATTGCTCCAGCCTCCATGTCTTCCTCTGGCCACCCTTAATGCTATACCATCAGTATTTTACTTCCACTAGTTAATATGTCATTGCTTTTGGATGGCTTGATATATGTACTTTGTCTATGAAACTGACCAGTAAGCAAGGTAAAGCTGTGTTACATGCTTTTTCTATGACTTTTAAAATGTTGGGTGTTAATTTTATTGAGGCATCATCAGCATTCCATAAAAATTACTCATTTCACATATGCAATTATCAACTATAAAAACTGATTCTGGGACAGGTGTGGTGGCATGCACCTTTAAGCCTAGCACTCAGGAGGCAGAGGCAGACAGATCTCTGTCAGTTCCAGGCCAGGCAGGGCAACATACCCTGTCTCAAAACAAACAAACAAACAAACAAACAACCTGATTCTATGGCTAGAATGCACAAGGCCCTGAATTAATACCTAGACACACACACGCAAACACACACACACATGAGAAGTAAAGCAAATCAAAGGCAGACTTGGGAAGATAGGAGAATATGTGATTCTGTCACCTGCACATCAAGCTCCTGGCTTCGAGGGTCTTGCAGGAAAAACCGGAAAGCCTCTTCCCACACTGGGCAGTTGGTGCTGTAGGTGGCCTGAAGAGGGGATGGTGGGATAAGGAGGTAGACCCAGCACCATTCCCGTTTCTGCAGAAAACCCTTACACTTTCAGACATCCTAAAGAGGAGCCTGTGCTCACCTTAGCCCTGCCAAGTGATGTGCTGACCCTTACCTTGCTCTCCTGGGTCACATCTTGAACTGACAGCTGCACCACAGGGTTGGGTTCCTTGTTCCCCTTCTTCAGCTGTGTGTTGGAGGGTATAAAATTCCAACATCACCATTTGGGTGTAGGGTGTTTGGGCTTTGGTGAAGGAAGGTAAGATCACACTAGAATCTCTTCCTCAAGGTGGACCTGATCTCCTTCCTGGAACCCTTGCATCACCTCCTTGCAGGTAGGAGGCATTTATTCCCTCCCTCCAAAGCTTTCTGTTCACCCACTCTAGAAGCCAAACTCACAGGAAGATCCTGGGCTCGATCCAAGTAGACAACTAGGATGGCAGCTGATGGGGGGTCTGGTTGAGAGGAGATTCCTCGATTCCACTGCAGAACCTGAGAGGAGGGAATAGCAAGCCTTAGTCCTCCTAAGCCTTAGGACTCCTCCCCCGCCAGCTTTCTGTTTCCTATGCAGCTTACCTGCTCCAGTTTTTCTGCATTTGGCAAAAGTGATAGCCATTCCAGCCTCAAGTGAACCTGGCCTTGCCCACCTTGTAGAGGGTACCACTGAAGGAAGAAGATGAATGTGAGATGTGGGCATCAGACACATACCCAACCACTTCTTCACCAAGGTAGTAGCAGTTATCACTTGCCCAGAGGGTGAGATCATTCCTCCCTCCCTCCCTCCCTCCCTCCCTCTTTTCCCAACTTACATCATCCAGTACTCCAGCCTGTAATACCTTCCCTACATCTAGCTTCATTCTGAGAGGAGAAAGGGCAGAGAAAGAAGCGATATGTGTGTGTGTGTGTGTGTGTGTGTGCGTGCGTGCACGCACGTGCATCTAGTAGCATGTTAGTCAATAGCCCTCCTCTTACCACCCAGAAATAACTAGAATCCTACAGTGTGTGTGTGTGTGTGTGTGTGTGAGAGAGAGAGAGAGAGCGAGCGAGCTCCAGAATCCCATTAGCACTGGAACTTTAGAATTCAAAAATGGGCAGTCTCACCTGCCCAGAAAGTCATCTTTATCCGGATCTTTGTCAAACACCTCCACCTCGACTTCCTGGCCTGGGACCTCATGTACTATCACCTGGAGAGCACAGAGGGCTACAGTCTCATGGGCTGCAATCAGCCAACTTCTTTCACACCACTTAGGGCTCCCCATTTCACACATTCCTGCTTCTTCTTGGCTTCCTACCTCATAAGTCTCTCCCCATTGAGGGTTGAGTTCCTCATTAATGACGCGACTGCAGAATGTCTGCGTGCCCACACGCACAAGGGCATAGGGGTCTGATTTGCCCTCAATCAGGCCTTTCACATATTTGTCCTTGGAGCTCAGCCCTCGAGCTGCCAGAAGGTGAATCCGAATGATGCCCTGGGGTTACGAATCAATTGGTGAGAAGCTAACCCAGCACAGGGCTACTGAAACAAAGGTCAGTCTACTCAGAAGAGGCCATACCCTGGGTAGAGGGGAACGCAGCTGGGCCACATCTTGAAGGTCAGGCACAAGGGGAACTAACAGTCGGTTGGGCAACACCAGGAAGGCAGCAATAGAATCCATGATCATGGTATCAGAGAGAGAGCTGAATAGGGGAGTAGAAAAAGAATAAGGTCACAACGTCCAGTTTTTCCCCAACCACAACTGCCTCTTGTTGCAAAGAGAGACTTCAATCTCTAAATCCTTTCATATTTTTTTCTTGAGACAGGGTCTCATGAATCCTAGGCTGATCTTGCATTTGCTATGCAGCCCAGGCGGATCTCAAACTCCTGATCCTTTTGCCTCCACCTCCCAGGTGTAGGGATTAAAGGCATGTGCCACCACACCTGGCTTAGGAGGCCCTTTCTCTTTTAAGAAATGAATATATTTTAGCAGGGCATGGTGGCACATGCCTTTAATCCCAGCACTCAGGAGGCAGAGGCAGGCAGATCTCTGTGAGTTTGAAGCCAGCTTGGTCTACATAGTAAGTTCCAGTCCAGTGGGGCTACAGGGAGACCCTGTCTCAAAAAAAATAAAAGAAATGAAAAGAATATATATTTTAGAAATGAATGTGTGTGTGTGTGCTACATGTATGTAGGTACCCAAGGAGTCCAGAAGAGGGCATCAGATGCCCTGGAACGAGTTAAAGGCAGTTGTGAGCCACTTGATATGGGTACTGGGAACTGAACTTGGATCTTCTGGAAGAAGAGCTGCAAGTGCCCCTGACTGCTGAATGAGCCATCTTTCTAGCTCTGTCCTTTAGAAAAGATTCATTTATTTCTATGTGTATCGGTATTTTGCCTGCATGTATGTATGTTTACATGTGTGCTATGCCTACAAAGGCCAGTGAGGGCACTGAATCTTCTCAAACTGGAGTTACAGATGGTTGTGAGCTACCATGTGTATACTGGGAACCAAACCTGGGTCCTCTACAAGAGCAGCAAGTGCTCTTAACTCCTAAGCCATCTCTCTAGCCCCCCCTTTAAACAATTATTTTATGTGTATGAGTGTATTGCCTGCATGTAGGTAAGTGCACCGGTGTCGTGCAATGCCCGTGGAGGACAGAAGAGGCCATTGATCCCCTGGAAATGAGTTACTGACCGTTGTTAGCTGCCATGTGGGTGCTGGGATTCAAACCTGGGTCTTCTGCAAGAACCACCAGTGTTCTTAACCGCTGAGCAATCTTTCCAGCCCCCTTTTTAAAAATATTTTATTATTTTTATTTTATGTGTATGATGTATTGCCTGCATGTGTGTAAGTGCACCCATGTCATGCAATGCCTGCAGAGGTCAGAAGAGGGTGTTGGATCTCCTGAAACTGGAGTTATAGACAGTTAGCCACCCACCACCACGTGGGTACTGGGAATCAAACCCATCCTCTGCAAAAGCAGTCAGTGCTCTTAACCGCTGAGCCATCTCTCCAGCCCCATAGCCCTTTTTTAAAAACTACATTTGGCCAAGTGTGGTGGTGCTCGCCTTTAGTCCCAGCACTTGGGAGGCAGAGGCAGGCGGATCTTTGTGAGTTCGAGGCCAGCCTGGTCTACATAGTGAGTTCCAGGACAGCTGGGGCTACAAGGAGACCCTGTCCCCAAAAAGACAAAAAAAAATTACATTTATTTATTTTATTTGTGGGGGGGGCATGCATGCCATGATGTGCATATGGAGCTCAGAAGACACCCTTTGGGAGTTAGTTCTCACTTTCTGCAGTGGGCCCCATCAGGCTAGACAGCAAATGCCTTTACCCACTGAACCCTCTCAGAAGTCAGGACATGTTCTCTTTAACATTCGTCTCTTTTTGACCCTGACCCCTGACTCTCTTCATTCCACTGTCGGCTTTCCTTTCTCTTTTTGCTCCTGCTTGAGCAGTCTTCCACCTTCTTTTATCTCTACCAAAATGTATACTCCTCCCACAGAAGAAAAAAATTCCAGCCTGAAACTTTCCTGGAGTTTTTGTCTGCCCTCCCCAACTAGAGCTGAGGTCTTGAAGGAGCAGGCTGTGATTTTTTACTGCTTTGCATCCCTGAAACTCAGCACAGGACTGGGATACTTAGTAGGTGCTGGAAAAGTCCTTAATACCTAAGTCCTGGAATATCCAGCAGGTTGGTCATCCCTGTCCAGTTGATGTCAAGTGTCTGGAAGAAAAGAGCAGAGGAGTCAGGACAGATCCCAGGGAACATGGTCATGCCTGTCCAATGGCTGCCAGGCCCCTCCGCCGCTTGTCAGTCTTCTTGTCCCTGCCAATAGATACCTCTCTTCACCCTTCCTCACCTCCCAGTTCCCTCAATTTTTTTCCTTACCGGGCGTTTGATAAAGAACATCGACACAGCCCCCACAATAGGAAGGTCCCCCGTGAGTGGCTCAAGAATCACCCGTAACACTCCATGTAGCTAGGGCAAAATGAGAAAACCAAAGCTGTTTCCTAGAAGCACCTGTGTCCTGCACATCCCCAGCCTTGGTTTCTCCAACATCCTACTTCCCCATATCCCATGAAGCTTAGAGCAAAGACTCTAATAAAGGCCCCTGACATCTGTCCTACCTGCATGCCCTTGACTCCTGCTTTGCAGAAATATTTCTTTACTTCCACATCAATCTGCAAGTCACCTACATAGCTGGGAGTTAGTGAGGAAGATACTTAAGGTTAATACTAGGCTGAATGGAGAGTAGGGGCAGCTAAGTAGCCAGGAGTGGTCAGGACCCACTGACAGGGGAGCAGGAAGGTGGTGAGTTACCTGACATTCATGTCCAGAAGGATTTGGTCTTTTCTTTGACTGGGGTGAACCTTGACCCCTACAATGCGTAAGGGCTAAAGAGAGAGGTGATCTCAAGGGGTGTAGGAGAGAAAAAGAGGAGCACCTCAGCCCCTTGGGGTGCCTCCCCAACCCCATTCATTTCCTTGCACACAAACCTTTTCACCCAGTTCCACTCGTGTAAATGTGAATGTTTGCAGATGGGGATTAGACCCCCGAACAGCTGGGGCCACAGTTTCAGTCAGAAGCTTTTCCATGTACTGACCTAGGAAGGGCCACACCTGGGCCACAATCTGAGAGGAAAGGGAAATGGTCAGAGAGCCCCTCTTCCCTTCAAAGGCACGTTTTAGCTGGGCAGGATGGTATACACCTGTTTCCTGAGCAATGCAGCTAAGGTGGGAGGATCATGAATGAGGCCAACTTGGGCTACATATCCACCTGGGGCAGAGGGAGCTACTTCGGAGTTCTCCCTATGGACAGCATTCGGGACTAGGCTCAGAACTGAGGTATGACAAGGACTGGCAAGAGGAATGAACCCTATCGAGGAAAAATAAAAAATAGTCCTCACCTTGTTCAGCCATTCAGCCTTTTCCACGTCTGGGAAGCTGACCTAGAGGTGAGGAAGACAGAGGCAGTGATGAGTATACTTTCCACCTATACTTCCTAAGTAGCCAGCAGGATGCTCACAAAGGAGATGGAACGTGTCCAACTGATAGGCTGGGGGAATGTATAGAGGTTTCCTCCCTCCCTCCCCCTCCCTCTCTTCCTTTTAAAGCAAAGTTGAAATTTATTTTTGGTCTTATTGAGACGGTCTCCTTGTAGCCCCAGCTGGCCTGGAACTTGCTATGTAGACCAGGCTGGCCTCAAATTCACAGAGATCCACCTGCCTCTGCTTCCTGAGAACTAGGATTAAAGGCCTGCATCACCACACCAGGCTAAAGTTGGAATTTATTAAGAAAAGGTTTTAGGGACTGGAGAGCTGGCTCAGCGGTTAAAAGCACCAGCTGCTCTTGCAGAGGACCCAGGTTCAGTTCCCATCACTCACATGGCAGCTAACAATCCTTTGTAACTCCAGTTTCAGGGGATCTGATTCCCTTTCTTGGTTTCTGCAGGCATTGCATGCACATGGTACACATACATGTAGGCAACACACTCATATACATAATAAAAAATCTTTGTGCATGTTGTGGTCATCCATGTATTCCCATGTGTGGCTGCATGTGTGTGCGTGCATGTATGTGGTGGCCATCAGGTGTCTTCTTCAATCACTCTCCATCATATGTATTGAGGCAGGGTCTCTTTTTATTATTTTTATTTTATGTGTATGTGTGTATTGCCTGCATGTGGATAAGTGCACCTGTGTCAGACAGAAGAGGCTGTTGGATCTCCTGGAACTGGAGTTATGGACAGTCATTAGCTGCCATGTGGGTGCTGGGATTTGAACCCGGGTCTTCTACAAGAACAGCCAGTGTTTTTTTGTTTGTTTGTTTGTTTTTTTTTTTTTGATCTTTTTGAGACAGGGTCTCCCTGTAGACCCAGCTGTCCTGGAACTCACTATGTAGACCAGGCTGGCCTTGAACTCAGGGAGATCCACCTGCCTCTGCCTCCCGAGTGCTGGGATTAAAGGCATGTGCCACCATGCCCAGCGAAGAACAGCCAGTGTTCTTAACCACTGAGCCATCTCTCCGGCCCCAAATCAAAAAAATCTTTAAGGTTTTAGCTGGGCATGGGGGCACAAGCTTATATTCTCAACACCTGGAAAATGGAGGCAAGGAGTATCAGGAGCTCAAAGCCACGCTGAGCTACATAAGAGTGTGTTTAAAAAAGGATGGACTGGAGACAGAGCTCAGTGGTTAAGAGCACTGGCTGATGCTACAGAGAACTCAGGTTCAGTTTCCAGCACCCACATGGTGGCTAACACCCACGGCACCAGGCACACATGTGGTGCTCTTATATGCAGGCAAAACACTCGTATATAAAAATATATGTGTGATAAAATAAACTTTGTTTTAAAAAAGAAAAATGTTTTAATATAGATTTAAGAATAAGCCTCCAGGGCGTCTTTCTTTAGAATTTCGGGGTGCTGAGGCCTCTTTAATAAGGAGAGTTCGCAGGTATAGTCCACATAAAGATGCTTCAGATAGCTCTGAGATGTGAAAATGACTGCTTCTGTGGCAGAGAGGAGGGAGAAGAAGGAAGAAGAGGAGGAAAAGTCCTGTGGAGGAGAAGGGCACATTCCTTCTGGAGGAGGAGGTCTTGTCAAATCAGTGCTTTAAGGAATGCTGGGATAAAGCAGTCCTAGTTCCCTTGTCCAGCCTTCCCTGCTTCCCTGGGACTGGGCTAGGTCTCCCCTTCCAAGAAGGTGAAGAAAGCGAATCCTTGATAACCTAGGGAGGGGCTGGAAGAGTTCCTTAGGCCTTGTGCGCTAGTGTCTATGCAAACCTCTCTCTCTTTCTTCCTCTACCCCCCTTCTCTTCCCTACCCCCTTCCTGTACGACTCCTTTTATGGGAAAGGACACCTGTCCCCTGTGTTGAGTGGAGAAGGATTCATTTCCACTACAGGGAGCAGGAGAAACAGTTACTGCTTAGGGTCCAAGTCCCTTAGAACCGTTTCTTCTTTCTTCTCTCCAGTCCTGGGCCTGGGAAGTGTGACTGTATCTGCGGCTTCTCTCCCTAACTGCCACCTCTCGTGGGAAGGGTAGGAAGGGTGGCAGGGAGGGGCTAGTAACCGGCTCAGCTTCAGCCCAGGAGACAGGGCGCAGGAATGAGGGCCTGGGTCAGAGGCAAGCGAGCCGACGAGCGCTGCCCACAGTCCGGAAAAGGGTGGGGCCGCCCGGGGGCGCGAGTAGTGCGGGCAGCGGGAACTACAGCAAAGCACCAGCCTTTTCCCAGCATCCTCCCTTGGCCCAGCAGCTGCCTCTGCTGAGTAGCCCTGCAGCCAGCTGGCTGAAGGCTGGAGGCGAGCGCGGTGGTTCTTTTCCCAGGTGCTAAGACTCGGCTAAACAATGCCTCTAGGTCCCAGCCGGTACCTAGGACAGGGCAGAAACCCTTAAGTAGGTAGAAAGTTGGGAAGGGGCTGGGAAAGGCGGGGGAGCACCCCTGAGCTTGCGCCGGGACCGCGATTCCCGGAGGCAGAGCAGCTGAGGCGCGAGCCGCGGAAGTCAGCAGAGCGAACGTCCTCCACGCTGGGCTGCGGGAGGCTGGTCGGGGAGCCGCCCGGCACGCACTGCTGTAGCGGGGGAGCGGAGGAAGAAGTCCAGATTAGGTGCAGGATCCGCTCAGCGGTAAGGGTGGGCGGGGAGAGCGCGCGGCTCCGAGTGGCATTTCCCAGCCAGCGCGCACAGCCCGCGGGACGAAAGTCTGGGGGCGCTGTCCCAAGATGGGGAGCTGACTTCAGGGGTGCTGAGCGACGAGCCGGGGCCGCACTGCGTGAAGCGGCTAACTCACCCAGGCAGGCAGTTCCCGGTGGCTCATATACAGCGTCTTGGCGGTGATCCGTTCCTCGTCGTCCAGGAGCTGCCTCGCCGCCCGCAGGCTGCGTTCTTTCTGGTCGCGGACCCGGCGCCAGCCCAGGTAGAGGGCGAGGCCGAACAGCACGAAGCCCACGCTGACACCCGCGGCGCCCGCCAGGTACACCGGCACCAACACTAACAAGCGCCGCCCGAAGGAAGTCAATACCGCCAGCGCCTCGCTAGCCGCACCCGGGCCAGCGGGCGGGATCCCCGGACCCAAGTCCGGCTCCGGGGGGGCGGCAGGAGGCTGCCCAGCGGCGTCGGCGGGAGTTGGGGGCTGCTCCGGAGAGCTGGAGCCCCCCCCCGGAGAGCGCTCCATGGGGCCGCCTAGGGGAGGACCCACCCGACCCGGGAACCAGCTGGTGGCAGCTCGGCTTGTGGGCCAGCTCCCTTGCCTTGATATACGGTGATTACCCCCCGCCCCCTCCCCGGACCTTAAGCCACGCCTCGCCTCTGACCCTCCGGGTTGGTTCGAGCGGCGTAGACCGTCTCCTTCTGCAGGGAAGCGAGGGTCGGGGATTGGCAAGACCTCCCTGATTGGACCAGAGAGCCAAGATGGGCGGGCTGGGATGGCGGGAAAAAGAGGAAAGAAACTAAAAGGCAGTATCTGATTGGTCATAAAGAGAAGAGGTGTGGCAGACCACTTAAGGAGGTGGGACCAAATGCTTCTCCCACGCGGGATTGGAACGCCTGTGGAATGACGTCATGCACAGTCGCTACTCCAATTACTGAGTTCTAGAGTGAGCTGGATTTGCGAAATTGAGGGGTTGCGGGTGGTTCCAGGTTCCTTCCACGCTTTCAGACGGTTTGGCAGAATTTGGTCTGATTCTTATGTTCTTTGTCAACTTTTCCTAAGTTTTGATACTCTAAGCACATTCTCAGTTTTTTCCCTAGCTACTCTCACAAAAAAAAAAAAGGAAATGACCCTATTTGGAATGAAAGCATTCGATGACGGTCCCTGTCCTCTCTCCGGTCGTCAGTCCCTTACCTTGTTTGTGAAGAGTAACGACTGACTCTAGGGAAAACTGCAGAATGAAAATGGGAGTTCGAATACTTCAGCCTTTAAGGAACGAGGGGGAAAGCAGGAGAGTAAATAAGTGTGGTTTTGTTTCCTTTCAGAAGTCTCCAAGAGTTAGTTCTTTCTTTCATAGAGGGCGGAGTCAAACTAAACTGTCTCCAAAAATGGGGGAGGGTTCAACTGCAGCAACAGTCACTACATTTTCCTGACACAGGAACTTCTAGGACACAACCAGGCAGGAGAGCACACATCTGCAATCCCAGCATTTGAGAGGCTGTGCTGGATAGCTTTAGTGTCAACTTGACACACCTGGGTTGAGGGAGCCTCAATTAGGGAATTGCCTTCATTGGACTGGCCTGTGGCCATATTCTGTGGGGCACCTTCTTGATTGTTGAGTGATATGGGAGGGCCCAGCCCACTGTGAGTGGTGCCATCCCTGGGCAGGTGGGCCTGTGTTGCATAAGAAAGAAGCCTGAGCAGGGGCCAGGGAGCAAGCCTGTAAGCAGTGTTCCTCCATGGCCTGTGCTCCAGCTCCTGCCTCCAGGTTCCTGCCCTGACTTCCTACCTTGGGCTCCTTGATGAATTGTGACCTGGTAGATGTAAGATAAATAAACCCTTTCCTCCCCAAGTTGGTAATGGTCAGAGTGTTTTGTCACAGGAATGAAGAGACAAAATAAGACACTAATGCAGGCCGTCTTGGGGTACATGGTGAGTTCTAGCCCAGCCTGAGAAGCATATTGGAAACCAAAGAAAGGACAGATGGAAAGGAGGGAAGAAGGGAGGGAGGGCCAGGCTAAGAAGGTGGCTCAGACAGTATAAGTCCGAGCAGGAGGACCTACATTCAGCCCCCAGCACCCATATAAGCAGGCTCAGTAGGTAAACACACTTGCTGCAAAAGCCTGCGTTCAGGTCCCCAGAATAACTGTAAAAGTCAGACTCAGCTCAAGAGTCTGTAATCTCATCCAACCCCTAGGGGAAATGGGAGGTAGAGGCAGGAGACTCCAGAATTAGAGGGCCAGTTAGCCTGGTTAATACAGTAGCAAAGAGATCTGTCTCAAGGTGGAAAGGTTAGGACTGACATCAGGTTGTCTTTTGACCTCCACACATGCTTCCTGATTCCTCACATGTACATTTACTCATTACACAAACACACACACACACACACACACCACACACGTGCAGAATGTGCCTATATAATCCCAGCCCTGGGGAAGCAGAGACAGGAGGATCCCTAGGGTTTGTTGGCCAGCCAGTCTAGCCTAACTTGCCAGCTCCAGGTTCAGTGAGACCTTCTCTCAAAAACTAAGGTGGAGGGCTGGCAAGATGGCTCAGTGGGTGAGAGCAATTGCTTCCAAGTATGATGATCTGAGTTCTATCCCCCAGACCTACATAGTGGAAGGGAAGAACCAATTTGGAGAGCTGTCCTTTGACTTCTACATGTACCCGGTGGCAGAAGCAGGTTCACACACATGGATAAATAAATAAGTGCAATACAATACTCAACTTTGTGGAGATGGTTCTCTCCTTCCACCTTTACATGTGTTCCATGGATCAAACACAGATTACCTACTGAGCCATCTAGGAGGCCTTTAATAATAATTTTTTTTCCTTTGGTATTTTTGAGACATGGTCTCCCTGTAGCTCCAGCTGGCCTGGAACTCCCTATGTAGACCAGGCTAGCCTCAAACTCACAGAGATCCACCTGCCTCTGCCTCCCAAGTGCTGGGATTAAAGGGGTGCGCCACCATGCCCAGTTTAATTATTTTCTAAATAATGTGTGTGTGTGTGTATGTATGTATGTCCACACATGAGTGTGAGCCTGCATGTACCACAGCAGTTGTGTGCAGGTCAGAGAACAACTTGCTTTCAAGAGTTGGTTCCTTCCACCATGGGTACCAGGGATCAGATTATCAGGCTTTCTACAGCCGGTACATTTACTTGCTGAGCCATCTGGCCAGCCCTCATACAAAAATATTGTAGGGGCTTTTTCATTGTTTTTGCTTTTGGTTGTTTGTAGTTGTTATTGTTTTGTGTTTGCTTATTTGTTTGTTGGAGACAGGCTCTCATAGCCCAGATTGGTCTTAAACTCAAAGGAGTTGAGGCTGGCCTTGAACTCCTGATCCTTCTGTCCCAGGCTCCTGAGTGCTAGGATTACAGGCATGTGCCACCATACCTGGCACTTGGCATAGAGGTTTTAATAAAGAATATATGCTGTGAACAGAAACACAACAGGTAACTTCTCAAAATAAAGCAGACCCCTGAAAGGGAGTTGAGCCCTGTTATAACAGTTCAGAGAAGCTACCTAACCTCATCTCAGGGGCCATTTGTGTGAAGTAATATCTGAGTAGATAGGAGGTGGGCAGCTTACTGTCTTGTTAGGTAGTAAATTTTATAAGACCATTTGTTCTTCACTGTCCATTTGGGGTGACGCCCTGGAGTCATTTGGAGTTAGGCTCTGTTTGCATAAGGCATCCCAAGTCACTGGGTCAGGACTTAAGTCAGGATCTGATTGTTAAGAAAATGGAAGATTGGGGGCTGGAGAGATGGCTCAGTGGTTAAGAGCACTGACTGCTCTTGCAGAGGACCTGGGTTCAATTTCCAGCACCCACATGGCAGCTATGAACCATCCTTAACTCTAGTTCCAGGGGAATCCCAATCTCTCTTCTGACCTCCTCGGCATTGCATGACACGGGTGCACTCACATATATATATGCAAGAAATACACTCATACACATAAAATAAAAATAATGACAGAAAAGGAAAGTGGAAGATTTTGCTTATTCATGTATTTATTTTAGCTTATTTATTTATTTATTTATTTATTTATTTAGTCTTTTTGAGATGGTGTGTCCCTATAGCTTCAGTTGGCCTGGAACTCACTATGTAGACCAGGCTGGACTTGAACTCACAGAGATCCCCCTGGCTCTGCCTCCCAAGTGCTGGGACTAAAGGCATGTGCCACCACACCTGACTCAGCTTTTTTAAACTTTAAAAAAATATTATTTTTGTTTTATATGTATAAGTGTTTTGCCTGCATATATGTAAGCACATCCATGTGTGCAATGCCTACAGAGGCCAGAGAGGATGTTGGATCCCCTGGAACTGGAGTTATAGATGGTTGTTAGCCACCAGTGCTCTTAACCTCTGAGCCATCTCTCCACCCGCGCCCCATTTTTGAGACATGCTGTCATTAGGCCTGATTGGCCTGGAATTCACTGTGTAAACTAGGCTAGCCTAGAACTCAGAGATTTGCCTGCCTCAGCCTCCCATGTGCTAAGATTAAAGGTGTTCACTGCCACATCCAGCATTTAAATTTTTTTTCATTATATTTTTTTATTGCCTGTGTGTGTGTGTGTGTGTGTGTGTGTGTGTGTGAATGCGTGAATGCCATGTGGAGGTCAGAGACAATTTACAGGAATTGGTTCTCTCCTTCCACAATGTGGGCTCCCTGTCCCTGCTATTTTTATTATTTTTGGCCATTGTCGTTTGGGCCTTTTTTTTTTTTTTTTTTTTTTGGTCTTTTTAACAGGGTTTCCCTGTAGCCTCAGCTGGCCTGGAACTCACTGTATAGACCAGGCTGGCCTTGAACTCACAGAGATCTGCCTGCCTCTGCCTCCCAAGTGCTGGGATTAAAGGCATGCACCACCATGCCTGGCCTGTCTTTTGGCCTTTTTAAAGTCAAATCTTTGAGGAACTGAAGCATGGGCTGAATGGGGCAGCAGGTTGCATTGCTGATCTGTCAAGAGATCATAGGCATAAGACTTGAACTACATTTTGGAGAGGGGAGGAGGTGCTGATCACAGGCAGGGGGTTGAAGGTCAGACTGTGACATCCTTCTCTTTGGAGTTTCAGAAGTCCTCAGCAGTAGAAACAGGTGTTGGTGTTGATGGTAAAGTGTGATTTCCCTGAAACTATACCATCTTTCCAGTGTGAACCAGCACTGGGATCTGGCAGTAAAGGAACAGGATTTAAGTCTGGAAAGATTCCATAGCAAGCTCTGGAATTTGTAAGAGAAGCACTTCCACCTTGTTAACTTTGATATCTGAGATCCAGTGGAAGGCCTTCAAGTTGAGATTCAAAGACTTAGTAAGATTCATTTTATTTTAATTTATTTTTGTCTTTTTGAGACAGGGTCTCCTTGTAGCCCCAGCTGGCCTAGAACTCACTATGTAGACCAGGCTGGCCTTGAACTCACAGAGATCCACCTGCCTCTGCCTCCTGAGTGCTGGGATTAAAGGCATGCACCACCACACCCAGCTTCATTCTATTTTATTTTTAATTTTATAAGTATGAATATTTTGCCTGCATGTATGTAAGTGCCCATGCATGCAGTGCCCATGGAAATCAGAAGATGGCATTGTATTCTCTAGAGCTGGAGTTACAGGTGATTGTGAGCCACCCAAAGTGGGTGCTGGGAGCTGAAATCTGGTCTTCTGCAAGA